ATTAGCTTTGAATTTTACTATAAAAAAAAATAAAATCGAAAAAACAGGTTTTTTTGAAAATCTCGAGAACCGTTTGAGTAAAAGAGCTAAAATTTGGGGTGAATTATTTTTAGTCGACACCAAATCGATCCCCTAAGTGCGAGTCAAAAAAGCCACGGGGGCAGATTTCCCATACTTATCCGGCTATACTCTTTATTGAATAACATCAAGGTTTGGATAATAATATAAATTGTTCGTGATATTTATCTTTATACATGTATTTAAAAAAAATAAATGTATATAATACATGTAAATTAACATATAACTGTTAAAAGGTCAAAACGATTAAATCCACTTCAAGAATTTAAAAAAATTTTTTTATTGAAGCACTTATTTTATGCTAAACTTTTCATTTAAATTTCCTTAAAAATTAGATTAACATAATTAAATAAATAATATTTTGTATCACCTTTTAACAACAAATGACATTATTCAAAAGTGGGTTACAAAGTTTTAAACCTGTTCTTTTCTGAAAGTTTCAAGACTATATAAAAAGTCGAATAATTAAATAAAAAAATAAAAATGATTCTATGTTAAACTCCAAACTTTCCATTTCATCAACATGTTTTTTTTATAAATTTTTTTTTCTTTTTCTTTGATGGAGTTGATTGATTTGCACAATTAACGGCACTTATTGCAAAATAAAACATCTATTGTATATTATTGTAAGTATTGTACATTATCTATTGGGTCTACAAGTAAGTTTCCAGCGTTTTTTGATAGATCGTGTCACGAGTAGATTCTGGACAGAAATGTCACATCTCATATGTCATTTTCGAAGCTTGTGTATTTGTTAACAACATTACATCATCATATTTGCGCATTTCTATCGGCGTCGTATATTTTATGAAGCAAAAATGTAGCAAGTTATGTGCCAAATAAACGTCATTTGCGGAAAGAGCTGCTTCTATTCTTTAATATGAAGAAAAGTGCAGGTGAGGCCTATTGTTTGCTTCTGAAAACTTACGGGGCGGAATGTATTGGTGACGACGTGTCGTGGGAAGTTCAAACGGTTAAAAAATAGTGATTTTGACGTTGAAGACAAGGAGCGTTTCGGAAAGCCGAAAAATTTTGAAGACGAAGAATTGGAGGATTTGCTGAATGAAGATCCGAGTAAAATTCAAGAAGAACTTGCTTCATCATTGGGCGTCATACAACAAGCCATTTCCCTGCGCCTGAAAGCTTTAGGATTTTTTAGGAAAGTTGGAAATTGGGTGCGGTACTAGTTAAAGCCGAGAGATGTCGAACGGCGATTTTGCATATCAGAAATGTTGCTGCAGCGGCATAAAAAAAGTCGTTTTTGCATCGTATTGTCACTTGTGACGAAAAGTGGATCTATTTTGATAATCCTAAACGCAAAAAAACATATGGAAAGCCTGGCGTGCCGGCCAAATCGACGCTGAAGCGAAATATTCACATGAATAAGGTCATGCTGTGCATATGGTGGGATCAGAAGGGTGTCATATACTACGAACTGCTTCCGAGTCAAACCATCAAAGGATCGAAATCAACCCAACTAATTCGTTTGAAGCGGGCATTGACGGAAAAACAGCCAAATAATCAGACCAGGCACGAGTCCGTAATTTTTCACCACGACAACGCTCGGCCACATGTTGCTGCTTCGGTCAAAAACTACTTGGATATTAATAGATGGAAAATTCTGCCTCATTTGCCTTATAGTCCAGATTTGGCGCCATTCGACTACCACTTGTTTCGGTCGATACAGAACGCTCTTTCCGGAATGCGCTTCACTTTAGTAGAGGGAATCAAAAATTGGCTCAACACGGTCTTGGGTTCAAAAGACAAGAACTATTTTTTGTTCAGAATTCACAAATTGCCAGAAAGATGGGAAAAAATTGTATCTTTCGATGGGCAATATTTCGAATAAAAAATATGTAACTATTTTTTCAGAATAAGCTCTCAAATTTTAAGAAAAAACGATGGCAACTTACTTGTGGACCCAATACATAATTGCTTTTGTATATTTTATGATTTAAGGGGGGATATACATTTTGAAAAAAAAATCGATTTTTTTTTATTGCATTTTCTAAAAGTATATCATTTCGAAAGTATTCTTTCAAAATTTTATAAAGATGTGAACTTTATTTATGGAGATATTGTAGACGAAAGAAATAATATGTAATTCTTTCTTTAATTTATCTCCTGTTTAAACGCGTTTTTCTCGAAACTATGTTTTCAAAGTCGGTGAGTAAGAAATCTCACAAACAGCTTAACCGATTGCTTTCAAATTTTAATCAGTTATTAAAAGTATAATAGAGAACAGATTGAACGATCGGTTTTTTATTTTTAATTAATATTTTTTTTTTTTAAGCCGATAAGTAGGCGTTTTTTTTGGTGAAAAAACAGAACTTTTTTGTCAAAAGTACGCCATTTTGTCAAAAATTAATATTTTGGAAAAGTCGATCGTTCAATCTGTTAAGACACATCTATACAAGGTATTTGCATTGATTTTGTTTATTTCAGATGATCCAGTAAAGAGATTCTTTACTCACCGCAAACCATCTTTTTTTTTTGGACACCACGCAGATTGGTTATAACTCGGTTGTGTCTAAATATTTTTACCTAAAAAAATTACTGTATTATCTTCAAACATGTATATTTTGAACTAAAGATTATTCGTCAAAAAATATAAAGCCAGTTTTCCAAAAAAATCGTAAAAAAAGCGTTTTTTTCAGGCCTCTAAAGGTATATCCCCCCTTAATTAGTGATTTATGAGTTCAAAATCATTTGAATGATTTTTATTTTTTGAGACTTTGGTAGTTTTCCACATAGAAAAATATTTTTCAATAATTTGCTTTCATTTTTTAATGTTCTGAACCTTAGATTTGTGTAATGTGTTTCTAAGCTTTTTTTTTAACTTTGTAAACGAATAATTTTGCATAATAGCAGTAGATGTTTTTTTAATATCTATAAGGCTTATTTGTATCCAAGCAAAATATTTTCGTCAAGCTATGGCTCGTTACACGGCGTGCAGGGTGGCGATACGCGAACGATTAGCGCTTCAGAAAATTTCGGAAAAATTTACAAACGCTTTTTAAATATAATAATATATTATTTTAAGAATCCACGATATCGTTCTCGATCATATAATTTTTTGTTTGTTTTATATTTCAAAATAGTCGATTCAGAGTCCAGTTTTCTGACAAGATCGCAGCAAGAGTTATCGATTGACGAGCATTGTAGCCTCTGTGATATTAATAAAAAAAAATTCTGTATGATCATTAATGTTATAGTTTTTATATGAATCTCTAAAATAAATGAAGAAAAAATGATGAAAAATTAGAAAATTGTAAATCACCGGGTATCAACTCGATTCCAACGGAGCTAATTAAATAGGAATTAAGTAGATTGATTAAAGTAATTTATGAATTATTATGATCGTTTTTCTGTTATGGTCAGTTCTACAATTTGAATAAATTTGACTATTGTAATCGGATTCGGATAAGCTGTTACATGGCTACGTATCTATCTATCTATCTATCTATCTATATATATATATATATATATATATATATATATATAAATATATATATAAATGGAAATTTCGTTTGTGCCTAATCGCAAATCTCAAAAATTACTTCAACGATTGTTTTGAAATTTTGACATAACGTTGCATTTGCATACAGGTATGTTTTTATTATATTAATTTATTTTTGCGCCATCTGTTGATCATAGATTTCGTTTAGTGCGCAGAACATTTGAACAAATGAAATATATTCTAATGTTTTAAATACTAACCCATATCAATACGACAAAATCACATTTTACCTTATTCTGATTTTTTAATAATTATATTCCATTTTTAATTTCATTTATTTGAATATTTTTAATATTTATTTTTGTGGTAAATTGTGTTAAAATTGAGTTTCATTATGTTGTGTCGTCTTTTAAAGGGGTAAAGGGGGAATGGTAGGTTATCTTCTACAGGAAAAATTCCGTTTATACGTCTTTTAATCTAGGGAATCATTGTGGTTCCACGCAGGATTGAGAGAACATAAATCGAGCTCATCTCGGAGGAGGGAGGTGTAACATTTTAGAAACTTATGATTTTTTTTTTTTGAAGGTAAAACTTCTTTAGAATCGAGGTCATTTAAAAATGGATAAAACGATGAAAACGATAAAACAAAAAATGCAACGAAAAGCTATGTCATAAAAAAGAGAAAAAAGAGACAAACATACGTAGGTTGGAACTTAAACAGTGGCAACTATTTATTCACAACCGATACAAAAGAGTTACAAGTTTTCACCCTTTACTGTCCCTTAAAGTAGTCACCAGCTTTGTATAGAACCCGTTACCAGCGATTTGGAAGGCATAGTATACTGTTAGCAGAGCCTTTTCTGTTGATGGTGCGAATGGAGTGGTCTACTGCCTGTCGAATCTCTGGTACAGTTCTGAATCGAATGCCACGAAGTGGCTCCTT